GCTTCTGGCCACATCATAGTCTAAATCAGGGCTCCCCAACCATGGCAACTTTAAGACTTGTGGACTTCAACTCCCAGAATTCCCCAGACAGCATAATTCTGGGAGTTGAAGAATATTTATGCTGTCTGGGGAATTCTGGGAGTTGAAGTCCACAGGTCTTAAACTTGCCAAGGTTGGGGACCCCTGGTCTGAATGATTTCACTATTCTGAAATCACAAGTTCCAACAGGCTAGCAAAAATGCTAACAACTCTTCCCTACAAGGCTTCTGGAATTTAGACTGGTAATTCTGAAACTCTAATTAAGGATTAAAAGTCCTAAACAATTTCATCCATTCTTTTCTACTGGTATTTTAAAGGGTGCCATCTCACAGACATTAATAACACCAAGAATCTGGGTTAAATCAATGCAGTCAGCCATTAGGTAAATTTGCCACAACTTTGAGAGCTAAGAAAATTATGACAGACCCTCACAATTTAGGGCAGGGGTACCCAATCCCGAGGCCACAGACGAGTATCGGTGCATGGCCTGCTAGGAACCAGGCCATGCAAGCAGCAGGTGAGAGAGTGAAGCTTCCTCTGTGCATGCGCTGGATCTAGGTTGCATGCGAAACCACCACCCCTCCCAGTCCGTGGAAAAACTGTTAACCACAGAACCGGTCCCTGGTGCCAGAAAGGTTGGGAACACTGATGTAGGGGACTCGTTTCTTCTGCAATAGCTTGTGCTTGATTGAGTAACCACCTAAAAGTTTTCTCAACTTTTTCCCCGATTATGTAACATGATTAGTATTGTGTTCTATCAACCTGTCTACCACTGGAGCAACAATCTAGCTAAGCTAGGCTGCATTTAGGTGTGCTGGTTAAGGTGCTGGTGTAGAAACCAGGAGATCATGACTTCTAGTCCTTTAGGTTGGATGATTTTGGGACATGACCCAACTCACCTGACAGGGTTGTTGTTCTGAGGAAAATAGGAAGAGAAACGAGTATCATGTTGCCATCTTGAGTTACGTTAACAAACAGACAAAAAACAGGCAACAGCATCCACAGACAATCCTTAGTCTGTCTCTGCAGAAAAAGCTAATTCAAAATCCTTGATGCTTTCTAAGCAATTCAGTCTATGCCAGGGGTCTTCAAACTTGGCAACTTTAAGACTTGTGGACTTCAACTCCCAGAATTCCTCAGCCAAACCTGAGGAATTCTGGGAATTGAAGTCCACAAGTCTTAAAGTTGCCAAGTGTTGAAGAACTCTTGTCTGTTTTCTTCAATTTAGTCTTTGTAGACTCCAAGTCTGTTTCTCCCTTTCCTACAATCATGCTGCCTTCCTTCCTTTACCTTGAAAATCTTTCAAAAGTGCAATTTAAGTCATCTGTTACACTGCTTTTTTCTTCCCCATTTCCTCCAACTTTATATACTTTTCATTAGTCATCCATTTATGGCCATTCCACAAAGGCCATACTCCTTGAGCAGTATGTTTTTACTTGTGTGCGTTCATTTTAATGCAATATTTGAAAATGCTTCCTTCACTGGAGGCCATGGTGTTTTAGTTCTGAATTTTTTTATAGACACACACTTTTTCAAAGGTCCTTTTTCCATCTGAATTTCCCCCCCTCTAACATAAATGATAGGGGGATGCTTCTGAATCAAGTGTGGTCACTTCAGCTTTTCCTCACTGGAAAAAAGAAAACTAATATTGCTACACAAAAATGCTTCACAACTTCAGATAACTCTACCGAAACAGCAAAGCTACCAAGTGTAAGGCATCACAACTTTGGGTATTTTTTTCTAATGGCAAAACGACAAATATTCTAGAATGCTATAAATATCCCCACTATACATCGCAGTTAAAAAAATGATTCTCCACACCTCTCTCCCAATATTACACCCTGTAGTTAACTGTTAAAGCCAGAGCTGCTAAAAAAAAATCAAATACTCTTTGAGTTAAAAGAAAATCTGCTTCTGTGTATAATCTGAACTTTTCCAAAAGAGCTTTTGGAAATCAAAAAGAGAGATGGAGCACTGTTCCTTAGGCATCTTATATTTTTCTTCCAGAATATGCCACTAAGAAACTGAACTTCCAAAAGGAGCAGCAAATTGAGGTCAGAGAATAAAGTTTAGGAAAGCCACACATTACTCAAATTCAACATTAATCAAGCACAATCCATATCTTTGTCCTGATGAGTGTTAGTAAAGTTTAAAGCTGATTTGAAAACAGTCAAAGGATAGGAAAGAAGACACCCATTCTCTGGACTGGAGGACCCTAACTAAAGAATATTCTCAAAAGCTGACTTTTCACATAGACTTTAGACCTAAAAAACATTCTAGAAAACTTAGCATTACAGTTCTAGAAGTCCACACTATTAACAAAGCAATTCCCATTTTTCCCCAAAATGACCAGATATATCAAGCACAACAAAGACAGAACAAGTTGATCCAGTGTTTTCAACATGACTACCTGCTCTGCTCACATGTACACAAGTACACATTGATCAGTACTTGAGTTTGCTCATATTCTTCACAAAACTTTAGTAAATAAAATAAACTTCAGGAGCACAGTTTAAATTTAAGTCACCTTCTTATTCTAAGTCACAAAATAATAAAACTGGCTCAAAATGGATACGCCAACACTACAAAGCGTTGGACCCCTTATCCTGCCTCTCCTAGAATGGGACTTTAGTGCTATATTGTACCTTTGTATAGCAATCTTGGAGAAGTGTCCTTTCAACTCTAGCTTTGTTTACTTCACCAATAATATTGCAGAAAAATAGAACTTTAATAGGAATCTTGTCACCAAGTCTTCCATTAAATTATCGTTCAAAGCTTTTTCACAGTTCTCTTGAGTGAGAGGGAGCTGAATAAAACAGAATATTCATTGCTGTTTAACTAACTTCATGAGGCTCATAAACAGCAAATGGATAAATGGCCAACTAGTACTTTTGGGGGAGTGCAGTTATGCTGTTAACAATGGAACAAGGGCTGGCAACAGACACAGACTCCTACATTTTCCAGAATAAAATGCATTTTATATATTCCTAAAATAAATTGAAAACATTTTAGCAGGATGACATTCTTTCACAAAGCACATCTTGACTCTCTGGTTTCCGTTAATGTCATTTTCACCCTTTCTGAGTACCCTTTTTTTAAAGTCAGGATGGGGAAATTATTTCTATTTAATCCCCAATATTACAGAGTGATTCTTTAGAAAAATATTGTGCAATAAATTTCCACATGAATTGTAAGCTCTGAATGACTTCTCTCCTTGGGTGTAAACTTATGTTCTCTTACAAAATACTTCTTTCCCCAAAAACATTTTATAGCTTAATTTCTCGGTCGTGTAAATCAAGCAGTATCTGATATACTATATTTTGCTTTTATAAACATCCAGTCCAAGTAACAGTGTGAGTGTCTTGCTACATGTAATGCTTTCCAGGGACACTGTTTCAACCCTTAAGCTGCCCAATATAAGCAGCATTAGAGCTACAGTATTTAGTATCGAACATCCATCCTTTTTTCTTTTGGAAATAGAAACTTTCTAAAACCTTCTAACAAAAACGTGGAATGGAAAATTTGCCAGCACAAGCGCGTTTACTGAAATCAAACAAGGTGAGGATCCGGTATGCTTAAGAGACTTGGAAATGGTGAAGTTAAAGAATTGGTGGCACAACTTGCTTGCCCATGGTTCACAAAATGACAGCTTAATTAAGCAACACGCCTGCTAATACTTGTATCACAGACTGAACCCTAAACCATTCAGAACCAGAGCCGTACATTACCAAAGGCTAAAACATGACTGGCCCCTTGAAGTCACCAGCAGCTGTGATACTACACTACTTTGCTTTACAAATCCCAAACAATCCCCTTTGCAGGAAGAAGAGGTGGGGGAATAATGGGAGCTCGGCGGATTGCAGCAATTCCTCAGCTGCAATCCTCAGAATCCAGGAGAGTAAAAAGGAGGGTGAGCCGGCAAGGGAACTGCGGCACCTCTGCAACATCTTCCAGAGTCCAGTGTTTCTCAACCTTGACAATTTTAAGGCATGTGGACTTCAACTCCCAGAATTCCACAGCCAGCAATGCTGGCTGTGGAATTCTGGGAGTTGAAGTCCACATGCCTTAAAATTGTCAAGGTTGAGAAACACAGTTCCAGACCATCCCCTAAAAAGGAAACTTTTGAAATCGGGCTCAAGAAGCAGGTTGCAGCGGGGTGACGGTGATGAAGGAGTTTTCCATATTCCCCCCCCCCCAAAAAAAACCACCCTAAGGAGGCCAATGTTTTTGTACCTGACAGTTCCTCTTCTCTTCTCCTACCCCCCCCCCCGGAATTCAAGCCACCTTCGCCTTTTCCAATACCAACGCGCAAGTTCTCGTTTATGGCTCGAGTCACTCCTCCAGTTTGGAAGGCCTAAAAAGGAGCCCTACGGGAAAGCGAAGGGTCCCTCGCTGTCTCTCCCCGCCCCCCCCCCACACACACCAGCCCCGGCTATCGTCACTCCCCTTCCCGGACCTTTACCTCCTTTGCAAAGCGTTCCCCCCCCTCCCACCGCTCCCCTTTGCAGGTCTGCGGCGCGCCTGCCCCTTTAAAGGGATGCGGATCGGGAGCCCAGAGCCCGCTGGGCTCTCCTCCCCCTTTTGCAACCCAGCTGCGGCCCTCCCGCGTCGGAGCCCCAACAACGACGACGACGACGAGTCGCGCTCGTGTCTACCCCTCCCTCCTTTCTCCCCCCCCCGGGAAGGGGGGGGGGCAGAAGAAAGAGCCGCGCGAGGAAGCGAAGCCGAATCCCGCGACGCCGCCGCCGTCGTCGTCCTCCGCCATCGGCTCTTCCCTCCCAGCCCCTCGGGAGCACCGGACGCAGGCGGGGCTCGGCCGCCTCCGCCGCCGCCCCCCCTCCGGATTGTGTGTGCGTGGGGGGGCAGGAGGCCGAGGCGTCCCCCCCCCACTTCCCTCGGGCGCGCCTCGGTCCTTCGCCGTGGCCGCGCCCCCCCTCCCTCCCTCCCTCCTCGGGCCCTACCCTTGGCGAGGGCGACGGTGGAGTTGTCGGTGTCGATGGTGTAGAGGATGCCCTCGTAGCGGATCTGCGCTTTGGAGATGAGGCTAATCTTGCTCCCGATGTACGGCGTGCCCGAGCTCATGGCGTCGGCGCGGAGGGGGGCCAGTCGGCCGCGCAGGCGGGGGTGGGAAGGCCTCGAAGGCGGCCCCGACAGAGCCCGGCGGCCGGGCCGGACGAGCTGGCACTGCTGCGGGGTGGCGGGTGTGTGTGTGGGAGGGAGGGAGAGGAAGGGTGCCGCAGGAGGCGACCCAGAGATGGCCCCGCGGACCAGGACGGAGCAAGGCGTCGTCCTCGTCTTCGTCGGCGTCGTCGCCTCCTCCTCCTCCTCCCTTGCAACCCGCGGCTGACGGGCTGTCTCGGCGGCACGCGCGTCCCGGCCGGGAGACGGACCCACCGCTCGTGCCTCCGCAGCGGACTGAGAAAGAAACCCCCTGCCGGCCGCTCCTTTTATAGACCGTGGGCAGGGGAGGGGAGGGAGGATAATGGAAGAGCCGGCGGGAGGCAGAGAAAGGAACCAGATGAGGACTGCGCGGGGGGGGGGGGGGAGGAAAGAAGGCGGGAGGGACGAGGAGAAGGAGGGCGGGGCTACGCAGGCGCCGCGGGCTCAGCGCGCGCGCGCGCCGGGCGAGTGGAGCGGGGGGAGAAAGGGGGCGGGGAGAAGCAGGTAGGCGGGCTTGTTTTGGATGGGGAGGAGTCACGTGACGGCCCAGCTGCTGCCATTGTAACGTGGGAGGGGGCGGAGGGAAAAGGAGCGTAGCGCGCGGCTGTGGAAAGGTTGAGTCGCGTTTGGGCTCGTTCGGAGCGCATAAAGCTGGTTGCTCAACTAGGGAGTCTCTCCTCACCCAACCCAGCCCCACCCTCCACCCCGGTTCTTGATCGCATCCCTAAAAAGCGTGCATCCCCAAAACACAAATTTAGCGTGGGCGGTGAATGGCACAAGATACACGTGTTAGGAGATCGGGGAGCTTACCGGGGATCTAGCCACTGGATTAGCCCAATGTGCTTCCCTGTGGTTAAAGGAAAAATGGGTTGCTCGGTCAACCCTTAACTCCTGGGTTTGCATGATGAAGCAGGAACGCAGGTCAGAGCTGCACAACCTGCTGAGCCAAAATGCTCAGCTGGTTTGTAGCGGGGAGGGTGTCCTGCTCTGGTATTCAGACGAAAGGAGCTTGACAGATTCTGCTGGAAAATTTTAAAAAAGGCTGGGTTGGTGGTGATGTACTATTTGATGGTATTATTTACAAGGTAAACTAAATGCAATGCAGCTTCTTTCATCATACTGGAGTTGTCGACTGTTATGGCTTACTATCCCAGCCAAATGTGGTTTATTTAACACAGTTAAACAATTTACCCAATCCACATTTTTACATTAAGAGTCAATTTTAATTAACATTTAAGGTTGGTAACAAGGATATCTCCTGGGAATTGCAAAAGTAGAATCGAGCAAGCAGTTTGGAAGAGTGTGTAGTATTTGTATGTGCGTGTGTATACAAATATAGTCCATAGAAGTCTATACAAATATAGACTTGTTTCACATCTGTAGAGCAGAAGACTTAGTCCTAGAATGGATGATATTATACAGTATATGTGACATTGGTGATGATATAATGGTGCCAAGTGACAGCAACTTCAAGAAGAAGGAATATGAGTGCCAGGGCCTGAACTGGAAAGGATGTGAAAAGTCAAGGCCAAATGGCCCCAGTAGCAGTAGGGGCACTTGGGGCTGTGATTCCTAAGCTGGGATGAGTGTCTCCAACAGATCCCAGGAATCTGAGACAGCAGAGCTGTAAGAAGAGTGCAGTTAAGGAAAAGCTAAGATACAGTACAGAACCCTCAAACTCCCAGGCCTCTGATAGAAGGCCCAAGATTGCAGAACACAGAGACCACCTACATAGGGTGAGAAGATATTTTTTTATATAAAATTCAAGGTAGCAAACATTGCTAATACTCCTATTTCCCCCTCCCCCAGCAACAGTCCTCTGAGGTGAACTGAGAGAAAGTCACCAAGAAGTCTAGAACTTTCTAAGACAGCAACTTCACCACTACACCAAATTGGCTCTCATTTGCCCAAAAACCGTATTAAATTCAGATTGCTTCAAAAGATGACCAAAGAATGTGTACCACACTCTTAATGTTATTTTATAATGATTTGTAAGATGACCAATGGATTTTCAAGCTGTTTTACATTAACTGATTCCCAGATAATATGTACTGTTATGTTGGGATAAGAGAATATTCTATGACGACGTGTTGGAAATAGGTGGGATTGTCTTATCAGGTAGAAATATATAACATTGCCATCCATCCCAGAAGAAAGTTTAGTTGTAAATACATTTGTAATGTCCAACTTCTAAAGGGTAGTTATGTTAATCTTTTGCAGGAAAACAATCCTGTGGCACTTTTAAGTGCTAATTTGTAAGAACATCCTTTGTGGATGCATAATAATCAGTCAGGCACAATTGACTGCACTTATCCAACATGCTAACTTTTTAAAAAGTGATTAAGAAACATATATAATTTCATGCTATATTTTCTCCCACACCTCTATGTTCACAGCTCTTTAAATGAAGCTTTCAGGAACACAGTCTACTTCATCACAAATCTCAGGAAAAAAACTACATGTTAGGGGGGACATTGTGGAAGGTGTCTCTGTATTTGATAACTAAGCTTTTTATGGGGTTGCAAATCACCTAAGATCCAGTTTGATCTTAGGTGATTCAGGGGAAGGTTGTCAATTCTACATGCAAATGTTCATCAGTTTAGAACCACCTGATTTGATCTGACAAATCCAGCTTTTAAGATTTGCTTTGAAGAGATGATTCAGTCAAATTTTCTTTGAACCAAAACTTTGGAATGGGCTAGTAGCTTTTCCATATGCTATGTAAATGCAGGAAGTGGGTTGGATCTAGTTTTAATACATTTTAGAAAAGTAAATTGAAATCAGTGGGATTTAAGTAAGTAACATCTTCAATCAGCATTACAAACAAGATCACTATCTTAGCTTATTGCAGAAAAATGTTAACAGTCATTGCAGGAGGGTCAAAAAAGTTCAATGGAGAATAGAATAGAATAGAATAGAATAGAATAGAATAGAATAGAATCTGGAAGTGACCTTGGAGATCTTCTAGTCCAGCCCCCTGCTAAAGCAGGAGAACCTATACCATCTCAGACAAGTGATTGTCCAATCTCTTCTTAAAAACCTCCAGTGATGGAGTGCCCACGATTTCTGGGGGCAAGCTGTTCCATTAGTTAATTGTCCTCACTGTCAGGAAGTTTCTCCCTAATTCCAGGTTGCTTCTCTCTTTGATCAGTTTCCAACTATTAATAACAATATGAGTTTTACCACTAGCCAAGAACCAATGTTTTGGTTCAAGATGGCAGTGACCTTATTTTCTTCTCAAATCCTTTTACTGGTGGGATGAAAATACTAGCTTGGTGATCTAATTTTTGAACAATCATGAAACATATTTTTCAAGTTTGAGTACTATTTGTTTATTTTGGTTGTATCTAGTTTTCTCCAGGAGTATCGGATTTGAGATTCTGAGAACTGAAGTCCAATCATCACCAAAGTAAGAGATCGGTAAAAAAATAACACTTGACCTTGAAGAGTAGGCTATATTGACCCTCAATAGCAGAACAGAAGACTTATTAAGTCACATCTCATAGCAGATGTAGATTCCAGGGGTTAAATTGTATCTGTGATTGACAAGAGTGGCTATTCACCTGGACTTATATAGCAGACTACATCATAACCTCTCTTAAATAGGCTATTTAGCTGCAGAGACAGTAGCAAAGAGAATTTTGTCTTCCATCAATTAACATCTGTGAAGCAGATGGCGAGAGACCAAGTGCAGAGCAGATTCTCTTTCTCCCTAATAAGTTCCATCTGTGGTTATAAATTGCATGATGTCTCCAGAAAAAGCATCTCATATGAAATACAGTAGTGGTGTTTAATATTAAATGTATAACCCACCTCCCTCTTTCTATAAGCACTCACAATAATTAAAGCAAAATGTAGAACATTATGGTCTTAATACTGTTTATTGTTTTAAAGATAAATAAAAAATTCCTTAAAATTGGGCCTGGCAGGCAACCAACCAACCCTGTAAATCTTTTAGTTCCCAAAAATCACTACATTTTGCACTGGTTAATAGTCTGACCATTGCATTTTTCACTACTTGTTATTTAGAAACCCTCAAGGAAAATCCCATGAGAAACGGATTACAGTAGTCAAAGGCTTGATCAGGATTTCAATCATATCACAATAAGGCTGAATGCATTGCCTGTTGATTCATACATTACCTATTTGTAATGACAATGTTGAGACATGGTGAGCAATCTACATGTTGATTGTAGATTTGACATAAACGTTCCTCACTTACCTTTCTCAAGTTCTCACTGAGGCTTTGAGATGAAATCACTGTATTAGCAGATAAATTGGATTCCAAAGTAAAGCAGTCCAGGTGCTGAATTTTCTGGAGGGTGTTTCCTAGCCACTTTCAATACATCTTGTTCAAAGAAACTCTGAATCTTGCTTTTAGCTAAAGTGGATTGCCAAGAGTTTGACACTACACTTATGGAAAGCAGAACAACTGGGTAACATTTGGCTTGAGTTAATTGATCCTGAAAACATGCAGAGTGATGCTTCTAGAATTTTTTTACAATTCCTTAATAATAGCTGTAGTCTGCATCATGTGACTGGAACAAAAAAGAGGGAGGGGTCTTAGAATGGAGGTATTGTCAACATCATGAGTCCAACTGCCCCATCCATAGGGTGATGTACAATATACTATGTATTTTTCTTTGTACATTTGGAATAATCCAATCCATTTTTTTTAAAGTCAAGCTTTCATTTGTTAGCATATCCTTTTGCATGAAATTTAGTTCCATTGTGTAGTGGGAGAGTGAACCTACTAATGAATAGCTGGACAGACAAACAAATTTCAGATTTACATTTTTTTCCCCAAAAAATTCTCTTGGGTTGCAAAAAATAATAAAAAAGCAACTGGAAGAAACTGGAACTATTGCTAACCAAAGTTGTTAATGAGGTTGGGTTCATATTTGGCTAAAATGTAGTTGCCTAATTTGTATTTCCAAGTGTTGTGTAAGCCTCGATTTAGTGTTAATTTATGTTTAGCAGGTTGTGTGAATCTGGGCAATTGCCTTAATTCAATAAGCCATGGAACTGTTAACCATGAATTAATGTGTTATTCAAACACAAGCCAGAATATTTTCGAAACATATTACTTTATTTAGTGAAAATGTGTTGACTATGTTATCGCTTCACACATTTGAATCCTTAACCATAATATAGTTATTCTGTGATTAAGCATGATTGTAATTGCTGGTAAATACTCATAGTAATTTGAAATCACAGTGTTGTTGATATCCAGTACTACTACATTCTAAGTAAAAATGGTGGCCACCAAGTTCAGATAACACAGCCATAGAAAAACACTTATCCTGGTTCAGCAGCCATGTGGGATAATAAGGGCAGAGTGATTCACTGTCA